TCGTTACATCCCATTCACCTATCCATTCTATGCATCCATCTATCCTATTCATCTTATCTCATTCTATATCCTATGCATCTGTCGTTACATCCCATCCACCTATCCATTCTATTCATCCATCCATCCTATCCCATTAAACATACATTCAATCCACCTCATTTGATATCCATCCCATTCATCTAACCATTCATTCTGTGCACTCATACATGCATTCTATCCCATTCATTTCATTGCCATCCATCAACTCAACTACTTCACTCCACTTGGCAAGAATAATAATCATCAATTATCTTTCCAGTTCTTGGCCGAGGGTGATCATCAAGCCCGTCAACAGAAGGAAATCGCTACGCTCGAGCAAACTTTATCGTTGTTCCAAAAGGTATTCAAACATCTCCGTCGTTTACAGTGCAGATACTTATCTTTCTACCGTCCAAATATATCACCAATTTCTATATTCTTCTTATCWTCCTAGATGCACGAGAGAAACGTGAATGATCGTAAAGAAACGATAAAAGGAATCAAACGAGTCATTCACAAGAAAGAAAAAGATAATACTAAACTAGACGGTGATTTAGAAGAGCTGGCTTTATCTGTTGCCGAGCGACGCAACGTCAACGAGATGAATGGTAAGCTCTATTCTATCCATCCATCAATCTTTTCCCTTTCATTTCTTTCTTTCCCATCTCCATTTCGTCTTCTTTTTCGCTTTTTGTCGTCCATACGAACCTAACATTCATCTATTTTGTTTTTTGTTTTTACCCCAGCTGAGAGAAGAAACGACACCGGCGCAGAGCGTCGCTACCAAGACATCGTTGCGCGCCGTAAGCTGGTTGACTTGGCCAAAGCGCAAGCCTCAGAGATAGCAGTTCTAAGAGCRGAAGTGGAGCGACTACGCATGCGCACTTTCCCTGCTCTTGTTCAAGTCGAGCGCTGATAATGATTTATAATCAGGGAAGCGACGCGTACAAAAATAAATCTTCCATTAACGGCAACTAAGTAGCTAGTTTAGCTGTAAATATAGGTAGTGTCTGACTTAGTTCCCATATTGAAGACCGAAATTTTTTGCAGTGTTTTTTATTTTGGTTTGAATTCGATTTTATAGCTTGTTTCTGTCTTGTACATAAATCATCTCATTCAAATCTAATTTATCATAAAAGAACTACGTGTACTCTCATATATCTTGAGCCTCCGACTAGACTCGGGGAGATAGAAGCACGAAGCCCTACTCTATGTCCTTGCACTTCCCTATAGCTTTTATATCGATGATTTTTTGAATGTAGTTTTCGTTTTCATATCGATATTATTTATTCTTCGCCTGTCGGCAGACACGAGGGAACTACCCGCCTGTCCCGGAAGCATTCGTAATCACTTAACATTTGCACCTGTAGCGCTGGTAACAGAAAGCGAACAAGACAGTTTTTGAATTTTAATCAAGTAGAAGATTTATTTCAATAGAGCCCTTCCAAGTGGACACCATTAAGCTCTTCCTCTCAGTTCAACCGTCTCTAACCAATCTTCAGTTTTCTTGCTACCCTCTATTCGCTACCTTAAAGAATGGTAGTTCTTTATTCGCGGCTTCCCGTCTCTTTTCTAGATAACAACCCCATCAGATACTTMAAATGCTAAAACATGGTACTGGTCGTTCGGGTACCAAAAGGCTGGAAGCACGAGTCTAGAGGGAACCAGTTCAGGAACTGAAAGAGAAACTTATCTCTAAAGCGCTTAAGATCTGCCATTGTCAGAAAGCTTGCGTTTTGAAAATGCTGATGCATGCTGAGGTAATAGTATCGCATTGTTTTTCTTTTCACAAAACCGCGAAAATAATACCGTTTTAAAAAGATATCCGATATGAACAAGCAGGCATTTTGTACAAAATAAAACAATAGAACGACAATCGGGAATGTCCTTGTTTTTCTCGATGTTATACTCAGATYTTTACAGTCTCGAATATCTCCAATATCGATCTATATACAGTAGGAAGAAAAGAGAAAGTCTTCCGGTAAAACTGTAAAAATATTAATTATCATATATCATATTTTTTGTCATTCTTTCATAAGGTGTAATATAGAGAAAAAAGAACGACATTTTCAGCATCGCTCTATTCTGTGGTGATTTCCTGGTGTGGGATCCCTGTGTCGTAATGTATTTCCTACTTGGGCAGAGCGCCGTATGGCGGAACCCTGCCAGTCATTTTCCTTTCCGATTATGACTAAAGCTGCGATTATGCAATCTCACGTCTTGTCAAAGTCRGTGGCACTTTTCACCTTACTCTCCTGCTTTCATTTCAACGCTTTTAATTAAGAATATTCTACTCGAAACTGCCCCCACAAGGGAATTACGGTCTCCTATAGCGACTGTTTTATCCCCTACATCGCCTTGATATTCACTTCTGTCGGTAGACTGGCATGTATGTCTTGAACCTTCTGTACTTCTTAAAGTCTTCCGAATCACAATTCCTTAGCAAATACTAACTACATCCATCGCGCTTGGGGGGAAAAAAGATATCAAGGAGAAACGAACGGAAAAGAAAAGAATATAGATAGAAGTTGCTGTGACCACGGCGACGCTTGCCAACTGGTCTCATCTAGTTTGGTTCATTTATTCTAGATGAATAATTGAAAGCCTGACGGCAAGACCATATCTCACCAGACGGCTGCACTCATAATAACCACTCATCTGTCAAACAAGCTGCTCTGATAGGCCCACCTTTAAAGTGCACCTATCCTTCATCATCGGCTATTCAATATCAAATCTCCGACGAACCTATGAAAGCGCAGTAACACAATAGAGGTTTTATCGGGTTGCAGGGCTGGTGTGATGCCACCAGTAGTTTGCCTTTGTTTGGCGCGTTTCCTGACATGTGACGAGCTACTTACAGTGACAGGCCGCAGCAATGATTCAGCCGCCCTTACCCACCGCACTGTGCTACATCAACCAAACATTTCCCYACTCGCTCAATCCAAAGATACAGATTTGTTCGGATTCGACACAGAAGAACCAAGGTAAGAATGARTAAAACGTTCTACACCATTCTGTTGGGTTAGACTGTTTGACAGTTGTAACCAGAGAAGGGTTCGGCGGTAKAGAGGAATCGGTGAACCGACAGAAGGAGCTCGTTCTGTTGGTACTTTCGCTTACCTAAGAATGACGAAGAAGACGAATCCAAGACAGTATTTCGCTTCGTTAGCTTGCTTCATTATAGGTAGCCGCTCAATTAGTAGCTAGGGATATATTWTTCTATTATTTATTGCTGTAATGAGTAAAGTGCCGCGAGTTTTAAAAGCAAAAATAGACCGTCGAACGCTCACAGCCAACTGTTGTGATCAGCAAAGGCCTTTCAGTGTCTTCGTTTCTCTCACACACTTCAAGGTTCAAGCGTGCTTTACATCTCGTCGTGATTCGTATAAAACAAACCCGAATGACTCCCCCAGAWACACATAAACACTTTTATTTTTATTTAAGAACGGATAGAAATTAAATTACCGTGATATGTTCGAAAGAATGAAGCGTCCGTAGGAGGAAGCTTCGAGGATTGAGCAGCGGACCTTTGAACAGCTTGTCGTTCTACGTGGTATGGTCTCATCTGTGAACTGATTTAACATGATTTTTCTCAGTATCCYATCCCTCCATCCTTCAATGTCACAACGTATTGAAGCCATGGACGTATTTTTCTTTTATTTTTAGCTCCTAKTTTTAGGCACTAGATTCATTGCATGTAGTAGCGTAGCAGCAGCTCTAGAGTAATGGATGCCTCTTGATTGCCCTGTTGTATAATTTCCCCACGATAGCCTTTGCTGATCCCTCCGTACCAAATACCCTACTATCTATTTGCGATAATTCAAATCAGTTTTATCATAGCCAAAGACCGGCTTCGCTCCATCTCCTTTTTTTTCTTGTTTATTTAAAAAWTTTATAGTAAACATTTACAAACCAAATTAATAATTTTGACCAAGCGAATTACGATCATCCAGCAAAAAAACTTTTGTTTCTGTAATATTTTCGTAATCTAAATATTTTTGTTATTCTAATGAAGTGATTGATTGATGCTATTGTTTTCAAGTCATTGTAGTTCAACATCAGATAACATGTATATACTTGTATGTAGTAGGTTAACTTGTGCCATACATATAGAGGCAACTGTCCTTCCAGTACTAGTTATATTCAATTAGAAATAACTTAAAACGTTTCATAGTAAAATTAATCTTTAGCAGTATAAGAAAATATTGAATATTTTACCAAAAATATATATATCTTCCAAGAGGAATAATCAACAATCCCATTCTGCTAGCATAGATCAATAGAAAAACAGTTTCACTTTTTTGAAGGTGGAATAAATTCAACATTAGACGAATGGAAGCAAATATCTATCATGAAAACAAGAAATGAATAGCTATTGTTTTTTGTTTTTTTAAAATAATAATCATAAGAATAATGGTAATTAGAAAATGAAATTACCCTTCGGAAAATTTATGAAAGGTAAATTCAACTGATAGAGATGTGGTTTTGATATTGGCTAATAATGTACACCTACTTGCAAGAACGTTGTCATACRAAAATAGAACATTAGTGATTTAGTGGGATAGGAATTATTTAAAAAACAAAAGAAGATCACTGACGCTGAAGTTTTTCTTTTGTCTTCTAATATGACAACGTTATTGCAAGTAGGTGTATATCATAGCATTTAGAAAAGGAAAGATTGATATTTTTATTGATAATATATGTGGAAATATGAAGGAATATGTATGATCTATTTTAAGATTCTTATTTGCGTATCATTTAATAGCTATTCTTTTTGAATAAAGTGCTTTATGGCATCACTTGTGGCATCAATGACCTTAGGACAGGTTGGCTTTTTTGTGTAGGCTTAATTCTTTTAGTCAAATCATTCTTATATACTTGAGATTTTCAATAAAATATGAACAACAASGCTTTCTGTTTTTTTTCTTCCTCTGTAAGAATAATATTATGAATTCTTGTTTGATGCAGGAGTAGACCATTTTTGACTTTGAATAAACCATAGTAACAATTTGAAAATATTGTGAAACTAAAATTGACTCATCAACCTTTAAATATTTTATATTTTCCTTAGCTTTCGACCAACACAGTCATCCTCAGAGGAACTAAAATAAGTTACGTTTGAAAATAGTTGATTTGAGGATTAGCATTGATTTATTTTAAGTTACTCACAAATGCAAAGCAAAGAAGAAGAAAATGGCTTAACATTTCATAGAACCCAGAAACATGCCTCTGTCATGGCATGGCCAACTMATAGATTGAATTTGTATTTAGCTGGTTAACTTCTTAATTCTGAAGAGGGAGGAAAACCAAAAAACCTGAAGAAAAACCATCAGACAGGGTAGAGACCTAACAAGCTAAATTCTAATTTGATCTAGAAGGCCCTAGGTAAAAATTACTCTGCATAATTCTAGTAATTCTACCAATTTGTCTAGTGTAAAAACTCACATGCGATGCTGAATCCAGGAATCAAACCAAAAAAAACTCAGAGGGGCARGTGTGCCACATCCTTTAAGGCTGCGTCCTTTAATCTGCATAGTACAACTTAAGAATACCCCGCAAATCATATGCACATGCTTAATGACCATGACTTCTATTGTCGTATGTGTCGTTCTACAAAGAGTTCCGACAACTGAATATYATTTGCGGGGTATTCTAAAATTGCTCCATCTGCATTGCACCTATGAKTCAATRAGRATGAAAAATGMTTWAAATGAYTAATAAGAAKGAATACAATTWTCTCTGGTTTGAAGCTAACCCTGTGTTAATGATCAAACTATGATGTTCCTTTAATTATTCAGGTGGTATAAAATAACRCAAGCTAATGAAAATGGCCACTTGTACACCAGTCAGGCCTTCACAGCTTGCTGCAACCATGTATGGAGAATATCCAAGAACCACAATGACACCAGAACCGGTGCTTCGCAAGTGTACTCCCTTTTGTGACAAGAACAARGACTGCCCAGAGCACCATGAACTTTTAGTAGCTATAGTCAACTGTACAGATATGCTAGGTTCTTTATCGAACCTTGACAGCTTAAAAGAATGTGTTGATAAATATATAAAGAAGGGCTGGAATAARGATGATGATGTTCCAGATCCAGTAATAGAGAATCGATTTCCTTTGATCCACTGGGCAGCGTCTTTGGGAAAATGCAACGCACTGGAGTGGATGTTGGCAAGTGGCTTTAATCCCATTGCTAAATCATCTGGTGTGGGAGAGACAGCACTTCACAGAGCAACAGCATGGTTGTATAAATCAAGAGCAAAATTCACAGTCAAAGAACTCACCCCAAAATACAATAAAATGGTCAGTCTGTTGAAGGAAACACTGCATGTCAAAGATGAAGCTCATGGCGAAACACCATTACACACAGCTGCCGGAATGCTAGTAAACGGTGATCACAAACCCAACTTCTTTCAAACTTGTGTTGAGCTTATTGTTAAACAAGCCAGGAAGATGGGAGACCAATGTCCAGGTATACTTAATGCTGTTAATGATGATGGTGATACAGCACTGCACATTTTATCGTGTGGTGAAAGACACAAGATTGAGTTCTGCTGCCAGGCTATTAGGACTCTTATAATGGCTGGTGCTGACAGAAGTATCAGGAATAACGTGGGAAAGACATCATTGGATATTGCATTGGCACGAGGAACAGAATCCATTGTTGAAGAACTAATCAAGGTAAACAACTTGCATATTTTATGTAATATAAATAGTGAGTAACAGTCAAAGTAAAACAAGAGAAAACAATGGAACTAGAGTCCACTACTATGTAATATATTTCCTTTTTTTAACGAACAAAGTAAACCAGTTGGTGTGGTGCATCACAATTTTTTCTTTTCTAAAAGTCCATTGAACCCAGTGGTAAGCAATGATACAAGAGTTGAGTATACTTAGATTGATCTTTATGCAAAAACCTAATAGACCTCTTTAGCCAGGACATTTGTATTCTCTATTCMGACCAAGTGTCATTCCTTTAAGAATAGGATTCTTTATTTAATTTGCATCTAAAAAAGAAATGATACTCTAGGGAATGACACATGGCCTGAAATGGGCAAAACATCACACCCAAGGTAAAGAGGTATATTGGCATGCATAATTATATAGGTACAGGGATCTCCCTCACCGCAGACACCCCTGTAAGACGGACACTAAGTGTCTGCCTTCAAAGGAGTTCACTGTACCAGCATATAAATATAAGATTTTATAGTTCCATATTTTTAAAAGATCAGATATGGTTTGATTGCAGGTAATTGATACAGGCGACAATGGGCTATTGTCTGGTCTCAACTCTGAAGACCCAGATTCATACTCGTATAGTGCACTCGCCACCCCCTCCCCTCCTCTCAGTAATATATCCAGGTCCATAGAGAGCCCAATGCATCCAGGCATCAGTGATGAGGAAGATGGTGGCTACCCTCACATYGCACATGTACAGTCTGTGAAGGTAGAGCCACTAGAGGATGACCAAGACGTGGAAAAGGTATTCAAAAACAACTTCATAGACCTAATCCATTGTTTTCCCATTTTAGAGGCTGTCATTCCCTTAAGTATTATTTCTTGTTATAAGAAAATAACCAATTTATTATAGTGTGAAAGGAGATATGAGAGAATATCTCCTAAGATTGAATTAGGATTTAGGAGTGTTGATTTTTGCRGAAAACGTTAAACACTTAAAAAGATGGATGAATATAGATGTTACAGCAATAAATGATGTATCACGACCCRCCATCTCAAAACCCTGATTTGATTTTGGTCTTTTCTGAGCCATCAATCATCTTTGGTTTATGCAAATGAGTCTACGAACACGTCATTCAGATTTTTGCCAAAAAAATGAAATTTCAAAGATATGGAGACATTTTGTTGAGCAACACTCTTTAACACTTGAAAAGAAACATGAACAATGATACTAAAATAAAGATATCTATTCCCAAGTGGTTCATGCCAGYGTGGTTAAAAAAGAAATTGCAAGAAAAGGAAGACATTTTGTTGAACATTATATTTGTTTTTTCCTGCAGCAAATTAAGCAGATGCAGGAAGAGCAAGCGTCAAGCAGCAGTAGTGATGGCCACTTTATTAATGGCCGTAAGTATAAATACATTATCATTCTGTGTGCATAGCATTCATTTAACAATTTTCAAAATCTTTTAGATCAGTCCAGAGGTTGTTTCAGAGTTCAGTCTGTGAGTTAGCCRTGCCCTGACTTAGATCAGCCCAGAGGTTGTTCCAGGGTTTGATAAAATTGATTTTCTTTAAAAAAAAGATTTATATTATCATTTTATATGAATTTTATAATCAACATACAAACTAGTATTCTTTTCTTAATTCCTTCTGCTGGTCTTATTAACTTAATTATGTYGTGACTCACAAACGAGTTAAAACATTTAAATAAGAAAAAAGAATTCAAAGAGAATTCTGGTATAAGTGGTATATAGAGAGATAACAATGAGAGAGAAGAGCTGTTATAAAGTGTTTAATGATATCATTGTGGTTATTTTAAGTGGACATGGTCGATGGTTCTGGTCTACTCAAGCATCTTTGCGAAGCAGGCTTACTTCATGATGTGTCTAGTCTAGTTGGCAAGGCACGGCTTAGAGATGAAGGGAACCTGCGTAAAGTACAAGTTCAGGCAAAAGGTACAATCATGAATTTTAGACTTGATCTTCTATCTATCTGTCTGTTTTTGGYCAGACTTTGCCGAGTTTCCAATCCTTGGATGACTGGGTTGAAACTGGACAGTTTTGAAAACTATGAATATCTCCACTCCTAGGGAATTTTGTTTATTCAGTTAAAATCTGGCTGCATTTGGTATCATAACCTTTTTTTTTATTATATGTTGGATAGAAGTCGATGCACAAATCAACACCAAACTCAAGGAGATAGACAGAATGAAGCTGGAAGTCCAGTCCCTGAAATTGAAAAGAAAGCGATGTGACGAGGAGTGCGAGAGACTACGAAAAAGACTTCAGTCATGYGTCAACGTCATGAAGGAAATCCCTATGACCATTTCTGAAAGCAGAGGTGAAAAACCTCAGGAAAATGATAAAGAATCTTGAATCTTTCTTTAAAAATACTTGCAGATAACTAAAATTTTATTTAGAATTCATTCATCCTCTATTTCATTATTGCCTAACGTCTGGCCATCCATTTGTTGTACTAAAGATACACAGTTTATGGTGTTTRGTGATGCCAGCTTCATAATAAAGTGTTGCTAAAATATAAAATTTTTGAAAAGAGTTAATTTTTTTCAATGTTTCTGATAAACATTTCATGAAAAGAGAATGGACTGCAAATGTTAGCAGTATTTTCTTGTATTATAAGTAAGACTTTAACTTAACTATTGCCTCTCTTCATATTTTGCTCAAAACAAACAAGCTTACAAAATGAAAATGCATCACAAATTACTTAATGTCTACCTTCCTACGATGCAGTATGATGCAAAAATRTCTTTTAAAATCATAATTCCAGATTAAATCTTTCCAACCAGGATAGATTTTGGTTATATATATAACGAATGAGAGTAATTTCAGTTAATTTGTTAAATAAATAATAGTAGATTTAAGTYTTCAAAGATATTCTGAGAGCTCCTTAAGTTATGCAGAACCTTTACTCTGTGAGATATAGAGCCTCAGAGATGTAGAGAGATGCTGATTTAATACATGTATGTATGTACCGATGTATATAGATCCACGAAAGGAAAAGTGAAAAAATATTATGAATAAGAGAACGGAAGGGAATTGAAAAAGAACGTTACTTTAAATTACTTGTAGTTTATATTTCTTAAAATATTTGAGGATTAATGAGTCTTTAGTTCCTCTGTATTTATGAAAAAATCGTTACAATATTTGTACATAGTACAAGAGTCATTGATTTCTGAAAGGAAGAGAGTGAGTATATATGGCTACGGTTTAGTTCTACTGATTATTATATTCCACATTTATTGTGTGAAATCCTAAGATGGAGTCATGACAATAAAGAAGATGTTGCACGGATAYTGTATATATTGTATTGTGTAAGGTAAAGCAAGTCATACTCAAGAGAATTTAAAATATTTGAAATAATGGGCAAACGTGAGTACTTCAAAAGGGTGAAAGTARGTCCGAATAGCTGCATTTTCAGAAAGGGATATTTCCAAAGAAAAGCTGACAAAGATGTTGCAATATTGCAATGTTGATTTGCAATATTTCGGTTTAATATTAAACCATCATCAGACAACTCATTTCAAGACTTACTTTCATCCTTATCTATCTTAAACTTTCTGCTGGTCTCGGTTTGTGAGTACTTCAGTAACGGCGTTTCAAATTTTTTCTGCCTCTAGTATTAATGTCCCATATTTCATGCCTTGTATATCGGTATAATTTTCCCTTGATGTTGAAAGTTCTCTATTGCCTTATCTACACTCTAAATCTTAGCTATGATGGYTAGAAAGCAAAGTTGTGTAGTCCAAGAAAAGAAAGAAAGGAAAGAGGAATAAAATATTCGAAGAGGAATCGTGGTCTCGAATGTAACTATGCTCAGTTGACGTTAACATTTGCTGCACATTAATGTTAAAGCTCACTCCTACCACTATTCCATGCGTACAGTGTGATAATCAAGTTTTCATACTCTCACTTGAGAACTTAAAACACAATCCCGTTGCAATCAGCAAATGCTCGGGGTTTAGAGGCAGGTTTTTCAAGCATGCAACAAGGATTTTCGAGGTGCTTTTGAAAGAAGGTGCAAGCAAACTGTAGTTGAGTTAAGTTTTTGGGACAAGTTGTTTTTAAAAGAAAATTGATATTAAACGTTATAGCACTGAACGCACGTTCTGCCACTACACACCAGAGCTTGTCACTACAGAAATATCAGACATATTATATCACTGCTCAACATCACACAACATAGTCACCTCAAGCATGTTAAGGCCTGGGATTTTGTTCAAAAGGGCAAAAACTTCTCTTCACCGYAGATTCCTCATTTTTAGATTTAATTGGATGCGATTGCAACAGTTATCTTTATTTGGGGTGCTTAACTTTTTGGATGGATAAATTTGCATAAAAGGTGGTCACGTGACCTTAAAAGAGGGAAAATGCTAAATTAAAAACTAGGTGATGGTTTTAGATTGTTTGTGAGATYTCTTTAGCTTGTTTGAAAGTAGCAACAAAGATACAGATATTCACGTTTGGAATGATCGACCAAAATGTTTACGAAAGGAGAAAAAATGGGCATAAAGGATATTTTGACAGGTCACGTGACCTGTTTTGTCAGATATCTCCTTAACACAAAACTTTAGCCAACCATTCTCAACGTCATTTGAACAACTTTAGGAAAGGAAATAAATTAAGGYTGAAAACGTTCAGCAAAGACTTAAATTGAGCACCTACTAAKAAAAGGAATTKTTATGTAAATKTATGTAAATTTCGCGATCACGTGACCTAAATATTTCCCGTTTTTTGGAACCAACTTGTGAAGAACYACGATATAAGAAAGTTTGAGAAAGCTGGTTATACTTTAAGCAGAAACACCAGAGAAATGATTTTTTAATGGTTTGATAGAGAATTGGTTCATAACCCAGGCCTTAACATGCTTGAGTGCGCAAATATCAAAGACATAGTTTGTCACTGCGCAAATATCAAAGACATAGTTTGTCACTGCGCAACATCACGCACGATAGTTTGTCAATGCACAACATCACACAACATAGTTTGTCACTGCGCAACATCACACAACATAGTCACTGCGCAAATATCACAGACATAGTTTGTCACTGCACAACATCGCGCAACATAGTTTGTCACTGCGCAACATCACGCACGATAGTTTGTCACTGTACAACATCACGCAACATCGTTTGTCACTGCGCAACATCACACAACATAGTTTGTACTGAGAAGTGTTTGAGGATGAGATTTGGACCTCTTGGTCGAATTGTGCATACAAGATGTAATGACATAACTCTTCACTATCTCATACTTCATTTTATAATGTAACCCTTTTCATGTTATACAATTTCTAGGTTTGTAATGTATAATCATAACTTAATCACGATATGTCTAATGTCTATTATAGCTTATCTACTTTAAATTTCTATGCTWCTAAATGCTACTAAATGTCTGCAAGGGCTTGAAAACGAAAAGATCTTAATTTATCAACGGACCATTATCCAGACAGGCATATCATGATAGCAGTATCCAGCGATGCATTTTCTTCCCTTGGCTGCATCATTGTCAGAATACAAGTAGTTATTGCTATCAACACCTTTCCACAGGTTCAGCCATTTAGCTGTCCCACCAAATCCTTCCGCAACAAAGCTGCTCGTAAAGTAATGGAATCTTTTGATTGTGTAGAAGCCGGTAGAGGGGTATCGACCCTGCTCTTCGGGAGCATACTTGTAGAACCCTCCAACATCTATGAGATCTTTTGCTGGCTTACCCATCAAGAACGCATCAAATTTTTGCTTTGCACTTGAAGGGCCATCCCCTGCTCGGTTGTAAATGACGTAGACATCACTACGATGGCTGAACCGAAACAATATCTGAAAATAAATAACAACTGAACAAGATGAACTAGACAAGACTGCCGGTTTCCTATGATAAAATCTGAGACAAGTACTATGGAGAACACAGATTTCCCCCCTTTAAAACCTTTGAGGAAAGACAGAAAGCCCAACTATAATAGAGTATAATAGATAATTGTGGACGACTCCCAAAGTAGCATGAGCTTTCGAGTTGGGAGTGGAGTGRAGTGGAGAATTTTTTAGAAAGGTCTAATTACCTCCTTCCAAACGTTTTTTAAAGCTGGATGAATATGACTAGCAGCGTCATCATTATTCGTTTGTGCAGCGCGACCAGAAAATGTTCTCGAAATGGGAACAAAATCTACAGACACCTTAGTACCAACTAGTGTCCAGCCTCCACTCTCCGTGGTCATATCGCAGAGTGCCTGGTACGAGTCTTCAGGGGAACCACCAGTAGGATCAATCCAGTACAGTCCACTGCCGCGACTGTGTCCTGAAAAGTATCAGAAATATTTCTATTATATTATTTCTTTCTTTGGTCGCCATATGTTTGTGGCCTCAAAAACGTTCAATTTTTGGACAAGTTTTAATCAAATATGCATGTTTCGGCAACATATCGGGAATATCTATTGCACAAAGATATTTATGACTAACTTGCATACAGACTAGGAGCACACGCAAACGTTTTGTCTCGTGTCAAGAGCGACAAAATCCTTCAGAGTTTATCTGCTCTTACCTGAGTTGAGAATGTCCAAGCAATGTTTCCCTGGATTTTGCATCGATTGACCTTTGCTCTCAGTAACTATAGGCAACCAGGAAACTCCATTACACAGTTGCAAGGCAYTCTGGGATGTTTCGTAGCGAACATGCCCGGCCGTGTTACTTGTACAGGCTGCTGAAGAACCACCAAAAGGAATGGGGCCAACTGGAAATGGACCTGGAGGCCCGCGCTTTCCTGGAATTCCCTGGAAAACAGTTAAATGTGAAAATTAATGAATTATCAATTATTAAGTTTTCTTCGTGAAATCAAATCAAATCAGAAGTTAAGCAGGTAGAGGGCAAGTCATACATATTTCTGATCCCACAGCCTGAGTCACCACCGCCATCCAGCCGTAGCCGCCTACTCATCCAACCTTCAGCATCAACCCAATCAATACCACAACCCACCCACCCAACCATCACCACCTCTCACCCACCCAACCAT